ATTGGCGGCTAGGGTCTCACATACGTGATCCAGACGTGTTCACCCCACTACAACACAATTATCTGTGAAAAGGCCGCATGCCGTGTCAGTAATATGATATGGCGAATGTAACTCGCCATTCACCCAAAACTTCCTTATTGTTAATTACGATTAGTACCCGAAGGGAGCGAATTGAGACGCCTGTGTTTGGATTCGAGAATCACAAGGAACCGTCCCTCTCCTAGACTACCCCAGGTAACCCTATCTAACATGACGTGAGTAAGAGGGGGATTGGATTACTGGGGGCTACGGTCTGTGTACTGAGGGGTGGGGGCTTGGCGGCTGGGTTGAAAGGAGACGTAATCGGTCCGGCAACGACAATGTCCACCTAGACCGCAGTTGAGCACTCAGATAATTTCCAACCAACACCAAAGCTCCATAAAGAAGATTGTTTTCTCTGATAACCTACCCTGCGAGGGATGCACACTTAATCTTTAGTTAGAAACACTAGAGCCATTCAGTATAGTGGCTGCACATGAGCCGGTAAAGCGACAAACGCAAAGCAGGATGCAAAATAACTGTCTGCAAAGAACTGAGAATTCGATGAGAATGCAACATACCACTGTGGTCACGTTCAATATGATGACGCAAATTGTTTGGCCTTGTGAATGCGCAGGGGCATAAATCGCATGTGAACGGTCGAGCACCTTTTCAAATGAAACAAAAATGGGCGTTACGGAAGAACAGTGGGAAGATTTTAAAAACCACATAATGTCAATTGCCTCAGCATGCCATTCAAGAGACTTCCGTATCAAACCAGGCGAATTGGGACCTCAGGGTTTAGGGCTAAGGAAGTATATTTTATTAGTGCAAAAAGTGTCAATAGCATACAACATAGAGAAGTTACTCATCAAGGACTGCGGAAAAACACGTGCTGCCAAAGCAGGCCCTCCTCTTATGTTCACAACAAACCAAAAGGAGCCAAGACACGTATTGACGGTTTTTGGCAAGTCGATTATACAAAAATTAAGTAGGCACAATGAAAAATAAAGCAACGATAAATCCCCTCATTCACAGGAACACACAGGCAATCATTTACGCTGAAAGACCGCCCTGCCAGTTCGACCATCTTTTCCGACGATGTCCACCATGTGCCTCACAGCATGGCTAGAGTAGGCAGGGTAACTTGTGCGTGAATTAGTTTATAATGGTAGAGGAATTTCGCTGCATCTACTGTACTCCTTCCTCCTCCCCCACCTAGGTCCGGTGTCAAGACACAGTCATGAAGACCGGAGGTGGCGGAGGGCGCAGGTGGATGGCACGGTCGAGCGCGCACATTGGCGTACCACCACAGCCCCTAGTCCACAACAAACACTTGACCCGGATTTCGATCAAAAACAAAAGCGGGTTGGAGAGAGGAGGGTGACACGGGTCACTGGGCAACCATGTACACGGCCTGTGCACCCAGAGGAATTACAAACGCATTCACCGGCAGGGAATCAGGTGCCGGCGAACTGCCAGCTCACATCAAGCTGCGAGGGCTATGGTTTGCTGAAACGTGGCACATAGTCATTAAAGTCCACAGGAGAGAGACGCAGCACCGCATTTAGACCAGGCGATCATCCTTCAGAGGCCGGGTAACCATTCAGTCATCGACTGAGAACCTTAGCCATATACACACACTTCTCACATGCGTGAGAGTGCCGCAGGTCACGCTCAGGAGCCGCTACAACCTGACTCTCAGCCCACCAGTCCGCCACTTCCCACAAACACATACACACACAACTAGGTAGACTGGGTGGAGTTTAGACGTCAGTCGACAGCCTTCCAAGCCACGGCGCTTGGTGCACAGCGATGGTCTTAGGCTCTGATCATACATGCGGCAGATGAGCCACGTGGAGGAGTCAAGAAGCACATTTCCCATTTACGTGAGCGTGCTTCCGTTGTGGGACAATGGGTGATGCTGACATGTGTTCGAGGTGATGGCGGGGGAATATGGGATGGTGTGCTGTAGCCGGCGCTACCTATCGCAGGTTTTCGTGGATGCGCATGTGGTCTAACAGGCCAGGCGGTGGCTGTGTGCGGGGACAGTGAGGGCAGCTGATGCGGATGCGTCGACTGTAGGCTAGTGTTCCAGACACTGGTTCTCTAGTCCCTGTGAGATGAATTCGCAAATGACCGACCAGGTCGATGTGTGAGGTGGATGTGCGACCGCAATGAGGACAGGCTTGAGCCGAGTCCACATCGCTGGAGGTAGGGGTGTTGGTAGTGATGGTAGAAGGCGATGGGACGTCGCACGCCGCTCCATTGGCGGGGTGGCGGAGCGCGTGATGTCGTTGTGATGGT